TTTCGGCGCAGACGGCCATCGCCTGTACGCTGTCGTAAAAGTCCTCATAGAGTTGGTGAGCCTTATCGGCCACGTGTGGCGGCACCTGTAGTCGCGCCGACAACTCTTCAATCTCCTCGTGTCCGCTGCTGACGAGAGGCCCAGACTTGGGGTTAGCCATCATTGGGCCCGACATGCTGTAGCCGTACGGCTGACGAGAGGCGTTGGATATGGAGGGCACCGGCACTGCCACTGGCGTGCGGTACGGGTCGCCGAATGTTGTGTATCTCATGGCCGACACCTCATAGGGTCGGGCGTTCCCCGCGAACCGATCCGTGGCTCTGGTCTTCGCGTTGTTGTTGTTGAACACACGCGTCGACTGTTTAATGGCAGCGGCGGCTCTCTTCTGGGCCACCGATTGTGCGGGTCTTTTGGGGGGCGACTGTTGCTGGTGTTGGCGCTGCTGTTGCGGTGACTGGAGTTGACTGATGGCGGCGCCCGCCTTCTTCGACATCACGCGATCCAACTGTTCCTGAAGTGTCGCGCACTTGGCCTCCAGTTTCTTCTTGTCGTCCATGGATGTGATTAAGTGTTGATACACTTTCTTGAGCTCCGACTCCAACTCCGAGACCTTAGCGTTCAAGCCGTCGATCTTCTCCTCCGACAGCATTAGAGATGTCTTAAGTCCAGCGGTTCTCAGCTCATTGTCGTCGAGCTGTGCGCTAATGCCATCGCCATCGCCGTCACCGCCACTCTCATCCACATTGCCATCGCCGGTATCATCGATGGTATCGCCATTCGTGGCATCATTGCTCTGTGCGGTAATGTCTTTGCAATCAGTTTCCATGAGTAGCACCTCCTCATCGACCGCATCTCCATCTGCGCCATCGGGATTGTCATTAACATCGGCCGCGCCATCGGTGCCATTGTTGCCATCAATGACTTCATCGACCACTTCGTCGTCGCCAATGATATTGTCGTCTTCGGGCGACTCCTCCTTAATGTCAGCGTTATTGACAACACCATTGTCTGCGGTATTATCTGTCGTATTATCTTCTGTACTGTCCGTCGCGTTGTCCACCACTTGCGTAGCGTCGGTGTCCATCGCTGAAGACATTATCACTCAAAATGTTTACACTTCTTGTAAAAAATGAGACAATCATAAGGTCTGCCCGTAAATAACGTTACCATTCATAACGTGTTCAACAGTTCGCGCGAAGTTTTGAGACAAAAAACTTTTGGATTTAGTGTTTGGTTTTAATCAATGAATTTAATTGTAATTAATCTGACCATTAGTTTAGCGTTTAATTCAATTAAATATGACTTCCGGTTAGTATTTCATTAAAATTATTATACATTTGAATGTGATTTAAATTATAAGAATAAATGGTTTTAAAAAACAGTTTACTTTCCAAACGAATTGATGAGAAATCATAAAAAGTTTATTTCATTAATAAAATGATATTTAAATCGATATTTACATTAAATTTTATGAGAAATCTTAAGACAATTATCACTGACACTAACCCACTAATCATCGTCTTTCGTATACTCCACACACCGCGAGGGGTCCGTCGGGAACAGCTTCTGGCACTGAGTCATCAGCCTCTTGAGCGCCTGTATGTACTTCCTCTGGGTCTCATCGTTGAGTACGTGCGCGATATTCTGCGAGAAGATCTTCTCGCGACCCGTACGGGCGTGTATGCCCACCATAGTCACCCCTATAGGCCAGGGGGCGTTGCCAATAGCCATCTGGAGGTAGGCGTCGTTAGCCTTCACGTAATTCCGTTCCAACAGATACTTCGTGATGATAATCAAGTGCTTCTGTATATCGTCGGCCACTTTGCAGCTCTTCAGTTGCTTCAGAAGCGGTCGCAGATATGTCTGCGTCTGCGTGTATATAGCGTTGGCTACCTTTCCGCGAGTGGTGCGCTTGACCTCCTCGGGCCGGGCGTTCAACTTCTTGCCCCACAACTCCATCAGGAACTTCATGTACGTGTGGATTACGTCGCAATCCCGGGCCTCATCCCGGCGCCGACCCAAGTGTTGCGCGAGTTGTAGGATCTCATCGATGGTTGTGTTCGTCTCAACCACTTTCACATCATTGGCGCCGTCTTTCTTACTCTTATCGCCGCCCACTTTCACGATCTCTTCGAGATATGCCGCGTCCACAGACTCCATGGCCTCCTATACACCACGTGACAGCACCGGGAGATAATAAATGGCAGATATTAGTAAGACATGTAATGGTAGTTATGAGAGTATATGGTGTCTAAGAAGTAGTGGTGAGTCAAAGCACTACAACATATGGTGTCTTAAGAAGTGGTGGCAAACCAGGACTTTAGACACGCGTGGGTTTAGACAACAGAGCCTTACCTGGAAGTCGTTTCTGAAGCCCTGATCGCTGGCCTCCGGTTCCAAGAGCTCTAACTTCCGGAGTCTGACAAACGCTTCCGCTTCGGTCTCCGCGAAGAGTACTATCGGTTCGTTTCGTTCGCGCAATCGTTTTATCACTTCTTTTCGCGGAAGTATTCGCTGTCCTAATGATGATAACAGACCACTGCTGGCGGTGGTGGTCGACGACGACTCGCCCGACTTGTGTTCACCGCTGGAACCGCTGCCACCGACGCCCCCACTCGACTCCGTGTCGCCCGTTTGGCCATCGATTGTCTTTTGGGACGACTTGTGGCCGGAATTCTTGAGCGCCTGCTTCTGGTGATACTCTTCGTCCCATTTGTGGTTCAGTTCTTCGCGTTTGAAGAACTTCTTCGTGGAGTCAACCAATGACCTCGACTCCAGAAGTTTGCGCTTCCGCTCGATCTCCGCCTTCAAGATATCCATTGAATGGTAAGTCAATTGTCTTTAGATGTCTGCAGAAGTCATCTGCGGTTTGTTGTTGTTGTCGACAATTCAACGCATGAGTTAATAATAGGATAAATAATGTGTTAATTAATTGGTGGACTATTTATGACTATGTAGTTACATAGATGAACATGCAATATAGTAAGCTATAAAAGGTACCAAATGTTACACACTAGACAGTGGGCTCTTTTTACTTTTTGTAAATTTTGTCAATTGTTTCATAGATTTTGTTAATTAATATAGATTTTAGTATTCATTTCATTAAATTATTTTATAATTTATTTTCGGTTTATTGTAGATTACATGATAGAAACAAGTACATTTTAAATAAATTACAAAAATAGTATTTAATTGAGTGAATGACGTTACTTATGAGCTGGGTGATATTGATTGTTGTCATTTTAAAATACAAATAACACCCGGTATATATAACACAAACTATTAACTGCTACATAAAACAAATCGGATTAAAATCTAGTGTAAAAAATTAAACAATAGTACAATGACCACACTCAATTATTTTAGCATACAACTTAACACCAAGATAATATATATACGCTAATAATACCAAATAATGTACACAATAGCGGGCGTCGACTGTACCGCTCATTCAAACCCAGCCTCAGCTGTGAAAAGACAATACAATTGACACGAAAACTGTTGACAAAAGCCGTCGACACAACTGATCCCAAACAGATGACCGCCAATTGATTCCGACCCCCGAAGTGGTTGCCATCGCTCCGGAGGAATGCTGTCCAACAGTCTGAAGCGTCTGAATCGGACGAATCGGTTGATAACAGTGGACGACATATCGGATAACCTGTTGGCCGGGCGGTCGGCCGCACACACCACGTGCTGGAAGTACTTACAGCAGGCCTCGTATGACGCGGCTCTGGATCAGGCCATCAGTATCTGTCAGCGAGAGCCCGAAAGACCCGATGGCTTCGTGTTTAGGGCGAGAGCGCTGTTTAAGCTGAAGAGGTATACGGAGGCCGAGGAAGTGCTGCTCCACGTCATGAAGATCGCCGAGAAGAACGATCTGATCCGCACGGATGTCGAAGGTATGCATGCATTGCGGCCATTGTCACTGTGTTTGATCCCATGTGTTGAGGGTTTTTTGTGTGTTTTTTTGGTGTTGTCTTTGTCGGTGTTTTTGATGGCTAACTAGACTGGCCATCGAGAGTGTGGTGATAGTGGTGTGTCGTATGATGAGTGGTGGTTATGGTGTTCAAGAGGTTTGTTGATTGATATGAGAGTTGTTTTTCGAGATGTAAAGGCTTTTTGAGTTGAATTCTCGTGTCGTGTCTTTGTTGTATCACTCCATTTGATCCAATGATTACTATTTGATGCATAGGTTTAACTGATTTGAGTTATGAGTTTAATTCAGTATAAGTTAAATACAGTGCAGTACTTAACACTCGCTATAGTGTCCTATTTTTGGTACACTTCTTAAATACGAGACAATTGTCTGAGAGTTTTCATGACTTATAAGATATAATGGGATCAATTAGAAGGGTTAAGTGATGTACAAGACTGTAATTTCCAGGAATGATTAAACTGAAGGACGAATTGGCGAACTCGAGAGTTGAGATACTGCGCGAGAATCGGTTCCAGAAACCGCTGGAAATCGCGGACAGGCATTGGAATGACTACCACAAGCCTATACTCGAAGTCATAGGCTTCGCGCGCCAGAGCCGGGCCGTTGAGCGACCCATGGATGCGGACATCGAGATAATCGACATCATTGGTGCCGAACGCGCCAAACAGCTATACCCGGATCTGTTGGCCAATGCGCCGAAACATAAGAGTACACCCATTGGGGGCCCGTCTACTAGTTATTGGCGTCCGGGAGCCAGTCGTTCAAATGTGGACATAAGACACGAGTTGAGGGAACGGGAGGGGAATGTGTCGCACAGCGGAGACCAGAGGAAAGTGGACGAACAGCTGAGAATCACTGGCCTTAAGACGAGTCTAATGTTGGCCGAGGAAAAGGCGCAGACGTTTGATCGCAAGAACCGGGAGTTGGAGTCGGAGCTGAAGAAGGTTTACCAGCATTTGCTGAAAGTGACGGCCGAGAAGAAGCAGTTGCACCGAAAGTGCGATACTCTGGAGGAACAGTTGGACAAAGTGTTGGCGCAGTCGTCAGTGGCGTCCACTTCGGTGGCGCCGAAGCGTAAGATAGAACCGAAGCGCCAGTTCGTCGACTTTCCGGACGAGAGATACCTTGCGGTTAAGTCGCGAAAACTGAAGGACTATGTGGTGACCAAAACGCGGCAAAAGTATCGCCGAATCGCCAGAATTGGTAGAAAACGTGTGGCCTATGGCGGCGCCCAGTCGTCAATGGCGTCCACTTCGGCGCCAAAGCGTGCGTTGAATGTCGAGAGATATCCGGCGGACAGACCACCGAATCTGAGGGGCTATGGGTTTACTAATTACAACCGAAACGGAGCTAATTATGAGCGAAGACCGGAGCCACAGGAGCCTTACGAAGACGATGGTCTCTACGAGATAGGGAACTATAGGGCACTCTGTAGGGAAGAGTTTGACAGAATTCAATGAGTATCTCATTCACTGAAACTTCAAGACTTGATTTATTTGGCTATGCGTTGAATGAAAATGAATTATTTGAACACAAATTTCAATTTAATTTTTAATTTTTATTTAACCACTTTGATCTCATTTATAATATGGTAGTTATAAATTATAATTTAATAATAATAACTTATACTTAATTAGTATATTTTTATGTTACCAATAATTTTTTCTAATGATTGGTTTCTAATGTGTTTTGTACTGTCTTTGGTGTGTTTGATGGTTAACTGGTGAGTGGTGTGTCTTATGATGAGTTGTGGATATTGTGTTGAATGGTGTGAGAGATTAGCCATTATTTCATGTGTCTGTTATTTGGTTTGAATGCTTGTGTTTTATGTTTTATCACTCCATTTGATTCAAAAATTAATTGATTCATACGTTTTGCTTATCACAACTACAGTGTACTCGCTATAGTGTACTATTTTATACACATAAATTTATTATTTAAGTAAATTATAGATTATTGATTATACCGATTATTTTATCATGATTTTCAATAAATACGAGACATTTGTAAACCCGAAAATTGTTAAGTTTACCGCATTTTATGGGATCAATTGGATGTGTTTAAGTGATGTCCCGAATTGTGCCATTGATTTCCAGGAATGATTAAACTGAAGGACGAATTGGCGAACTCGAGGGTTGAGATACTGCGCGAGAATCGGTTCCGGCAGCCGATGGACATCGCGGAGATGCACTGGAATGACTACCACAAGCCTATACTGGAACTGATTGGGTTCGCGCACCCGAACCGGGCCATTGATACTGACGAGCGACCCATGGATATGGACATCGAGATAATCGACATCATAGGTCCCGAACGCGCCAAACAGCTATACCCGGATCTGTTGGGCGACGCGCCTAAGCATAAGAGCACTCCGATCGCCGACCCGTCGATGAGCGACCCATGGATATGGACATCGAGATAATCGACATCATAGGTCCCGAACGCGCCAAACAGCTATACCCGGATCTGTTGGGCGACGCGCCTAAGCATAAGAGCACTCCGATCGCCGACCCGTCGAATGGCTATTCGCAGCGGCGCCGGGCGACCAGTCATTCAAATCTGGATATTAGCGGCGAGTTTCCGGTGAGGGAACGGGCGGTCAATGCGGAGAAAGACGTGGAGCTGAGAACTGCCGGCCTTAAGACGGGTCTAATGTTGGCCGAGGAAAAGGCGCAGAAGTTTGAGCGCAAGAACCGGGAGTTGGAGTCGGAGCTGAAGAAGGTTTACCAGCATTTGCTGAAAATGAACGACGAGAAGAAGAATCTGCAGCGAAAGTGCGATACTCTGGAGGAACAGTTGGACAAAGTGTTGGCGCAGTCATCGTCGGCCGGAGCGTCCACTTCGGTAACGCCCACACCGAAGCGCACGTACATCGAGGACATCGAGAGATATCCGGTGGACAGACCCCCGAAGCAGAAGGGCTTTGTGTTCACTAATAGCAACCGAAAGAGGGCTAACCTTAACAACAGAAGCCGTCAGAACATCGACGACACCGGACTCTACGAGTACTTTCAAACGAGGGATGAGTTGCAGACCGTTGACTACTATTAGAGTGGTTGACCCATAATGTCTGTCCTGACTGATCACCACATGACTTGATTTATTTGGTGATGAAAATCAGAATTTAATTAATATTTTGCTTTCCTTTTGTTGGTCATTATTTTCATGATTTTTATATTTAATCACTTTTATCTCGTTTAATATATGACAGTAATGTTATAATTGTGTATTTGATAGCGATTTTTGTGATTTAATGATTACTCTCCACATATGATTACCGCTATATAAGACATTTGCGACGATTATGTAATCCATTCGTAGCTTAATCTCTAAAAAGTATTTCTTGTATTTCGCTGCTAATCTTAAGAATAAATCATTTGTTTGTATAAATTAGTTGTAAATTATTTATCGCATAATTGCCGTACACTATAGCGAGTTGTTTGTGAAGTTTGGTGTTTGGCCTCAAAAAAAAGTTTGGGATTTGGGATCAAAATTGTAGAGATTTTCTATTTGAAGACAAACCCATTGATGAGATTATCATTGGTTACAGCATTCATTAAACTGAAGTACGAGTTGGCGGCCGTACGTAAGGAGATCCTGAGGGCGTCGGGTGTGGCCAACCTTATAGACGTGTCCAAGCGATACCTGGATAACTTTGATGATACTATCACTGAATTGCACTTAAATGGCGGTAATTGTGCGCAATCATCAACCACTGGGACAACTAGTGAGGGCACCGGTACTTCCAGTGATAGTACGGACGACACCGACGAGACTGTCACCACTAAAAGTTACGCAGATATCGACGTTAAGTTGGAACAGTCATCGAGGGTTGACAGCGGCGACGAGACCTACTACTCGTCCACCGATTGTAACACGACTTCTGAGACACCGATGCGTTCAGTGAAACGAGAAGTTTGCGATCAAATGCTGTCTATTAGTGTTGAAGGTATTGATAAACTCATTGAGAATATTATCACTTTTAAAGAATATTCTATACATTATTTTATATTAATTTTCTGATTCTTATGTGTATTTTTCGACAGAATATTATAGACTTAAGGAATCGGACCGAAAAGCCGTGGAATACGAGCAGAAAGTGATGGACTTGGAGGAGGAGCTCAAGAAACTGTATTTACAATGCATTCGCTTAATAGATGATAAGAAATTAGCCGATGAAGAGGTGGAACGGCTGCGAACGGAAGTGTATTTCATGGAGAATCAGTTAGAGTCGCGCCCAATACCGGCCAGACCTCGAAAAGTGGGCACTAATTATAAGCAAAGACTGGGCGCCCACTCCTACTTTAATAGCCATAAGCCTTCGTTCTCGGCGTCCGTGCCGCACAAATCACCGCCGATGAAGACAATGACCACGAATGCGGTTCCAGAGGCGTTGGAGGCTAACATTAGACCCATTTATCACAATAAGAAATACGTACCGTTTGTTGAGTATTGAGGCACAGAATTGTCAGAATATTCTACCAGTATTTTTGAAGTCATACTTTTTGTTTACAGTATCAATGCATTCATGGATTCATTATTAAATGATTTTGTATATTTTTATGCACTTATTTTCTACTTATTTCCGTATAATGAAATGATTACTGTACAGTGTTTGACTACTCAGCTAATTACCTCGGTATATCTACAATTTTTTAAATCAAAATTAAAACATTTTAAAAATTAATTGCTTGAAGAGTTAAGAATAAAAAAATATGAAACTTATTTTTAAGTTTATTTCAAACCATTTTGTAATTGCTTTAGCTAAATTTATTATTTATTTTGTCTATTCTACTAGCATCTAATGTAATCTTATTCATGAAACTAATAAAGTACTTTAAATACATTATAATGCATAAAGAGTCGGGGAAATGGCATATATTAATAACAGTCTATTACTAATAGAAATGGAAAATACCTGAAAATTATATTTCACTGAATCAAAGTTTGTTTTAGTCTAAAATTTAGATTATTATTTCTACTAGTTTTTGAGCCATAAAAATAGTATGAAGGCAAAAGGGAAAGGCTGTTTGGTAAGCGTTTCGACTACTGTCTACCAACTGTTAGATGAAAATTAAAAATAGTTTTTTGGTTGAACTCCAAGAACTAAAAATAAGTGAAATGTTTGTAAACTAAACATCGAAATAAATGTTATAAATTCATTTATAACTGTTTGTTCACCTGTTTATATTGATTTAATATTGATTCATTGTTTCTGTGACAACAACATAAAAAATCATATATAATTTGTTTTCAAAGTTTCAATTTCAAACGGTTAGACATTTAAATAATAGTGATTTAATTATTCAATTTAATTAATTCACTAAACAAGTAATTTGAGCGAGATAATTAAATTATTACTACAGTGCTATCAATGAGTCAATACTATCAGTCGGACGCTATCGTACAACTCATACAGAAAGCAATGACTATAATGAGTGAAAATGAGTTAAATTCTGAGTTCATAGCAGAAAAGTGCGAGAATATCACGAAATCGATAGCAGATAAGCGTCAGTATAAGGGACTGGTACTCAGGAACGGCCTAAAAGTGGTGCTCATCAGCGATGCCGAGGCGGACAAGTCGGCGGCGGCGATGGACGTGGCGGTGGGCTCGATGTCGGACCCCCGGACGGTGCAAGGGTTGGCCCACTTCTTAGAGCACATGCTATTCATGGGCACTAAGAAGTATCCCAAAGAAAACAATTACCAGAAGTATATCTCTAGTAATGGTGGTGACAGTAATGCATATACCGCTGAGACTAATACTAACTATCACTTCGACATATCCCCGGACTTCTTGACCGGTGCTCTCGACAGGTATGTCCGCATATGTAGTATCAGTGCTGATGTAGTAATTGAATGTATGGTCAGATTCGCGCAGTTCTTCATTGAGCCGCTGTTCACAGAGAGTGCGACGGAAAGGGAGATGAATGCCGTGCACTCGGAATACGAGGGGAATATACCGACGGATTGCTGGAAGTGCTCGCAAACAGAGAAATCGCTGTCAGATCCCAAACATGATTACAACAAATTTGCGATCGGTATTGGATTTATAAAACTTTTTTGTATGCATGATATATACCTATAAATTCTTAGGATGTATGGAAACACTGAAAGAGATTCCTCTGAAGAATAACATTAATGTCCGGAAAGAATTGCTTTCGTTTCACGAGCGCTGGTATTCAGCAAATATCATGTCTTTAGTGGTTTTAGGCAAAGGTTTGTCTCATGAGAACAGACCACTTGTTATATAAATTCTTATTATAATTCTTATTCTGTATAAACAGAAAGTATTAAAGAATTGCAAGAATTAGTGGTTCCGTTGTTTTCTCAAATCAAGAATAACAGTGCAATCGCTCCCAAATGGACTACAAATCCATTTACCACTGAATGCCTACAAAAGCAGTGCTTTGTTGTGCCGAATATGGATACCAGGAGTTTGGAGCTAAAGTTCCCGATCCCTGACATGAGAGCCCATTACAAGTATAGCTTGTTTCACATAATTTTAAACAATTAATAAACTAAAATTTTTTAATGAATAGATCAAAACCGGCTGATATTATATCTCATCTGATTGGACACGAAGGACCGGGTAGTTTGCTATCGGCGCTAAAATCGCGAAACTGGTGCACGTGTTTAGGCGCCGATTCTACTACTTCAAGAGGTTTTGCATTCTTCACGGTTACCGTCGATTTGACTGAACAGGGAATTGAGTGCATCGACGATATCATTGCATTAGTCTTTCAATACATTAATTTACTTAAAGTATGAATCAGTTTATTGTATTCAAGAATATTCTGTGAATTAAAGTCATAAATGAAATTTTTGTATTGATTTTGTTGTACAGAGAGAGGGTCCGAAGCAATGGATTTTCGATGAATTGAAACAAATTCGAGAAATTATGTTTAGTTTCAAAGAGAAAGAGCACTCAATGGGCCATTGCGTCAATACATCGGAAGTCCTTCACGTAATCATTGATTATTTGAAATGTTTTAAACTTATTATTATAATTTTAATTAATTATTTTTTAGGATATACCACTTAATGATTGTTTAAGTGTTGGTTATTTGTTTCACGAATTCAAACCCGATTTGATCACTGATATCGTGAATCTCTTGACACCGGATCGGATGCGAGTGATAGTTGTGGCGAAAAAATTCGCCACAATTGCGGATCAGACAGAGAAGTGGTTCTCAACGAAGTATAAACAACAAGACATTCCTAAGGAAAAGATCCAGAAATGGCTAAACATTGGATTCAATGACAAGTTAGCACTTCCGCCAAAGAATGACTTCATTCCCTATAATCTCAATCTTAAGCCAATCGATGATAACGTGAAACGAATGCCACAAATGATTAGAAACACAGAGTTTTCTCGTGTTTGGCATTTGCAGGACAATCAATACCGCACTCCAAAGGCTTACTATATATTCAA